ATCGCCGGAATTTTGATGGCGACCATACACAGGCCTTGCCGCAGCGGGCGATGTGCCCCGCTGCAGTTGCACGGTCTGTGCGGTGGTGTGATGACTTGATATGTCCATCGCCTATATTCCCGAACCAGAGAAGGAAGGGTTGGTTCAATCGCAGAGGGTTTGTGGCACTTTGTTGATGTGTATGAAGGCTAACCCGTAGTTCTTTAGAGACCAGCTCTGGCGAAACGATGGTTACTACCGGACACCAGCACCAGAAGACGCGTACCCTCCTGATCTTGAGGGCTACCCAGAGCCTGGATGTGGGTGGCAGAATGAGGAAGGAACTCGCATTGACATCAGTCATCGTCTGATACCCAAACCTCCCCTGCGCTCTGTATTGAAGCCAACGAATTATAAGTGTCAGGATGGTATTATCGCTGGTTACCTCACCGCTGCCCCCTCCTCGCCGACCTCTGACGACGAGTGACAATCGGATGCATCATGAGTCCGCTGCCCCGTTTCATCATTATCTAACACGGACGCTATGCAAAGCTCTCTCCGATCAACTTTTCGTTTTCGATGTTTTATTCGTTCAGGTGTTCTCCGCCACATTTTATCGGAGCTGGTATACTGTCTCTAGCATTATGATGGTGATAAGTTACATCTTTGCATGTTTGTACATTAGTCTGACGAGAGAGATATGACCTCATATTCATCCCCGCTCGTCCTTCTATTTAAGCTGGCGGGAATTCCCTTCGCCTTTTCTTCACTCCTTCGCCGTTTCTTGGTTGACCGAGGTGGTCTAAGTGAGTAAGCCCAGTCCACATCATCATCATCGTCAACATCCGACTCCTCGGCATCAATCATCTTTATCTGGCTCGTAAAATCTTCTCCATCAACTTCGTCCGGGTCCGATACATCTTCATATAGCCTTTTCTTTCTTGGTGGGGCAGGTTTCCGAATTCGTGACGGGCCAGAAGTGGGGTCTTCTTGAAGATCCAATATATCAGGAGATTGCCTGTCAATAGTAGTCTTCTTGCTCTTTACTTTGCGCCCATGTCTCCTGAAGGAGCACTGGATTCTAGGCCCGCCTCCATTGACGATATCTTCACGAATGAAACGGGTGAGCCGGAGCGCTTGATTACCGGGTGCGACGTAAACATTCACAGTGTACGCCGTCGACGAAAAGGCCTCCTCGAGGTACCGCAACACAAGCATTTGCACAATTAGCGACTCCATGTCCTTTCACAATATCTCGGATCGGATCAAACTCGACATGGGAAAGAAGAACTCACGTCCTTTGAAAGCCTCACTTTGCCGCCAGCCACAGAATCATAATCAATCTGTATCTTCTCTTTAGCATTTCGGCGCTTTCCGTTGCCACCAGTTTCGAATGAACCGCCACCCAGACCACGCGCCAGGTCACTGAGGCCAGCAATGGTCAGGCGCCCGCCATTACCTTCCACAGCTTCAAGTATCTTTAGAATCTGCCACGCTTCAACTGTCACATCCTTGTGTTCCACGTTGGCAGGAGGCCTCGTGCAGTTATCGCAATGGCCACATCGGTCCATTGCATCTGATTCGTTCGTGGTCCATGAGGCCATAGAGAGATCGGATGATGCCGAAAAGTATCTATAATGATCACCGAACGTACTTGTGAGGAGGTAGACACTAGCACGAATTAGGCTTACTTTGCAAATAAGATCTTGCGGCATTCTTGCATATCTTGTGCAAAACGTAAGATGTCATGCACTACGGGGGACACGGGGAAGTCTTGTGTGACGGTTCATATTCAAATGTGGAGATGGCTCACATTTCATCACGCCATCCTGGTCACTGCACGTAATGGAAGCTTGGCGAGTAGCATCTTGTGGACGATAGTACAATACGCAGTCTGCGTCTTGGCCGTCTCGCCCAGCACGTCCAGACTCTTGATAGTACCCATCAAGAGACTTCTGTGTGGCAAGCACTCAGTGAGTGCGCAGAACACTACTTTGAGGCTCCACGAACCGATATCTTGAATGCCGTTTTAATAACGTAACTGCAGGAAACACCTGAAATGAAAGACGCACTGTATGGTGGAGTACGAATCGAACGTCACCCTTGTCAATCCCTAAGCCGAAAGCTACCCCGGAGGTCATCAGGACCGGAAGTCCATGTGATGTGACACATGAGGCGGACCTATTGTAGCGCAGACTACCTGAACTTTCCCTTCCCTCCATTGCATGTGTAGCCTTTCTTTTTGCCCATCCTCGACATTCGCGTGGTAGACGCCCGTTTTGATGCGACCATTGCTCACCATTTGAATGCTTTCAGCAACCGATTCAGCATCCTTCAAAAATGTGAACTCAATGACCGCGATGGTCTTGGATTAAAATACCTTCTTTGCGAGGCAATATATAATGCCACTATCATTTCTGTGATTTTGCAGAATGTAGTCCGACATTGTCATGATGAGTTCTTTTGCTGAAGATGGTTTTGGCAAGACAGTGTAATGGAGATTTTTGCGGTACAGAGGCGCAGAAAAATACACCGTCCCATCTGGTGGGGCAGCTGTGCGCAGTAGCACGTTGTTTTAGTTGTCCGCACATTCAAAAACATGCACACCTTTCCCATCTACCACCGGTTTCATTTTGAGAATCTTGAGAATATCTTGGAGGACTCTTGGGGGGCAGGTTGCGGACAACGCAAGAATGGGCACGTGAGGAAAGAACTGGCGAAGGATGCTCAATTTTCTGTAGTCTGGGCTGATGCGCGGTTAGTGAGATGCTCGTATGTCCATAGAGATGAAACTGTACCGAAAATCGTGACCCATTTGAGAAGCGCAGTGGGCTTCATCGATAACGATCCGAGCTTGTGCAAACTAATCATAAAATTTCCAGGTTATGGGCTTAGAACCTACCAAGCTTTCCACCTTCCACAAGCTTGCGCAGAAGAGACATAAACGTCTTGCTTTTAGCTATTTTCTCTGGCTGAGACATAAATCAGCATGAGACCATTGTAGGATTGCTATATTACCGTGACATAGCATAATTTAATGTCCCGACCTTGATGTCTATGCACCTGAGATGATGCCATGGATGTCAGTCTTTGCTGAATCTCGTTGAGTAGGGGACGTGGAGTTCCCCCTGTCAACATAACAGCTTCCACTAAAAGAACATCAGTAATGAAGATAGGAAATTTCAGATAAAAGCGCATATACCTCCTGACTCCCTCAGATGTAGGATCTGATCCGTCATCAGGGAAATGAGGGGGGATATCACCAGTGTACACCCTGGCGTCAGGAGGGCAGGAAGTTGATAGGTTAACGACTTGCCACCTCCTGCAACAGCACGTTAGCGACAGGTAAAAGGTGCCATCTACCATCCTACCGGTGGGCATGACACACACAATATCTCGGCCATCCATATTAGCATTGCAGACTCTGTTATTGGTCCTTTAAGATTCAGGAAGCAAGTCGAGGAGCACACTGACCCTTTCTGGCACAGTCGAAAGTCGGCGATATTGAAGACCTTCTTCATTGTCAACTGCAGCTGCGTTGACCAGTCGAAGCTAACAGTATAGTCAACTGTAGCTGCTTTGCCCTTGCCCTTAGTCTGGACAGCGTCACTGAGCCCCCTTGACGGTTGCACCAGGTTGATACGGCTGCGTTCTCGAGTGAGGTCATCTTTTTCAGCAATTAAGGCCCCCCGTAAAGCAGTCAACTTTTTGATCTGCTCGTCTATCCCTTGTATTTCGACCTCTAGAGAAGACAACCGGGTGTTGACGTCATGTTTCTGAAGATACGACGGCATCTTCGCAGATTTGGATGGACCTGCAACATTAACAGGTGCACCGGGACGTTGGTCCACGAGCGTCATCTCAAGAATCTCTTCCATCTGCGAGTGTAGGCGTCAATGAAGACCACCTGAAATTGGATCCTGGTACTCACGTCATCTGATCCAACATGATCTGAAAGGTAGTTCAACTTATTGCGAATCATGTACCGTCGTGCACTACTCCGTACTTATCCTTGACTAGATAAATTACAACTAATAGACAAGGCACAGTCGGAGGCTTGGAGTGGTGATGTCAAGGCAGTGAAAACAGACACAAGCGGTACGTGAGAAACGCGGGGACGCGACGTGTCTATTTCAAGTCTATTTGGTCCGAAACTTTCACCGTTGCCCTCTTTGCTAGCGACTCAATATGAAATAACATGTTGAAGGAGTCAACTTTCTTTATATTCTATGTAAGTCATTTCGGATACCAATAGATTTGGTGAAGACATGACGCTACTGAATCCTGCCATGCAGCTGGTTTAGATAACACGACCATAACTTCCAGTTAAATAGTTTCACCGTAACTTTCTAAACTTCAGAGAGTCACAAAATCCACTGCAGAGTGATAGAGCTTCTCCGAGTTCAAGTCCGTCGAATTTCAGCTGAATGATTGCTGTATTGGCCTTGGTCTCAGATCTAATCTAGTCGTACGTCTTTATTTCTGCTCAACTCTGCTCTGTAACATCGCAACTACAGGTTTTCCGTCAATGCTATCAATACTCTATCTGACACATATCAAGTGGACTTTCCAGGCCGTGTTTTCTCGTCCACGCTGTGAATCTCTCCTCCAATGGGATTACTGAGCCACCGGCATTCAAGCAGATCGGCGGCCAGCTTCTACATAATAGAATTCGATCCTCATGCCTTGGTTATCGGGCCGTCATTCGGTTTACGTTTATAGTGGTATGGACATGAACCTTACACGTACACAGCGGTCCGTAAACCCTTGAGCCCCAAGTAGGCCGTTCAGGAGACTTGACATGATTCGTTTTGGTCTAGTCGCATGAGGGTGCATTTTCAAGCGTAAGTATGAATACCTTTTCCTATCAGCATCTTCCCTTGCAATGACCACATGACTCTTTTTATATATCGGCTAGCAGGAGTTGTGATCCTTTCGATAGATTTGAACATGATACATGTCGACGATCAAGTTGTCAAGTTTCACTAACGAAATCTTGTTATCTTGAAGCAGGGTTCATCATGATCATATTCCCCCATTCATCGTGCTACGGAACGTGCCAAGCGTCTAGACCCACTTGACCACGCCACTGTGTACAATCACCCCACCCTACCCTGTCATCATCACTGACCCGGAATTCCTCCTACTTGTGAGACGTCCAGAGGGAAAAGCGGATAGCAATGATGTAGGGGTTGATGATGTCATGTAATGTGTGGTTTCAGGTGCTCACGCTTTCCGAAGGGATTCCCGCACTTGTACTGTCCTCGGTTGCACTGAAACTACTCCTATTGCCAGTGTCGGCCGAATTCTATTCCTGACCTCGCCTCCCCGAAACGAAGATGAAACGTCTCTTGTGACATTCTTGTAATAGGTGAGAAATTATATTGGTATTACTCATCCATG